AATTATATAAAAAAAAAACCAACCCAAAACGATGCAGTTGAACCAACTGCTAGAAAGTATGGCTCTCCAACTCACACCTAACCTAAATTAGAGCTAATTTCCTATTAATGAAGAAACTAAAGCCTTGCAAGCTGTTTTGATCTGTATAGCATTGCTTTCTTGTTTTCATTATTTTGCAGAATGCAACAGAACTACAAATACCATAGACACTATCTCGTCCCACAGTCAAGCTCATCTGAGGATTTTACTTCATTCAGAGTCATATTAAGATTCTGACTGCTAGGGAGACAGTCAAATCACTTCCTTGAAATCAGCAGATATACTAAATTGTCTCAAAGACAAAAATTACTCAGGTTATTTTTAAATGGATGAGAGTCTCTAATTTCAAGCAGCAAAGATACAATAAAAATTACTGGGCATGTAATAAAGAACTCTGTCATCACGAAACGTATGGAGAACATGGACAACTGTAATTTAAAAAAAAGCTGCATTATTGTGTCTGCTGTGCATACACAGGCAGCGTTAATGATGAGTAGTGTGCCAAGAAGTTTCACAGTTAGGACCCAGTCCCACTGAAACGAGCACTTCATATAGTTTCTTAGGACAAACTCCTTCAGTCTACGGCCATAAGTCAAATTCCATTCACTTTGGTGATAACATTTGAGAAAAATTTGGGGGTTAAGATCTATTTGTACATAAAGCTTGGGGGGGGTGAGGGGGGATAGGTGGGTGGAAGAAGGCAGGGAAGAGTTGAAATGGAGGAGGAAATACCGCATGCAGTATGTGCTTCCTTTGACCTTTTGAACCATAATCTTACAGGGAGAATCTTCAAAAGCCACTGGCTTCAACTCTTACACAGTCTGTGTCAAGGGAACCAGAATCTAATTCTGCATAAATAACTACGGGCAGACAATAAAACTAATTAAGCACCGAAAGAGAAACCTACGGGGTTTTCTGGTTTTGTACATGAGGCACAGGAGAATGAAAGTGCACAGAGGCTATACCAACATGTCCTTTCACGCGAGTCAAGAGATACAGACACCTTAGTTACCGAGAATCGGCCATTATACGGCAAATTTCTTAAGCTCTTGGTGTTGAACACACCAGGCTTTGTCACATCCCCTTCGAAAAGCCACAGCGCTCGGGCAGGAGCGGCGTCGCCAGGCCGAGGGCACAACCGCACCGGCAGCGCGGGGAAAAGCAAGGGGCAAACCTCGCTCGCCGCCCCGGAGGAGGGACAGCCTCCTCAGCCCTACGCGCCTTCCCCAGCCGGCGGGCACCGGCTTCACCTACCGCGATCTGATCTTTGTTCCACGCTTGCTCCGGCCCAACGCAAGCGGAAACGCAGGTGCAAGGAGACGGGGCCGAAGCCTCGCACGCCCCGCAGAGAGCGGGGCTCT